TAAACCCGGGCGGCCGCGGGCTGTGTGTCAGCGCTTGTGCGGGTTGGGGAGCACCGTTACCCACAGGCCAACGGCGTTCCCCAGGCCAGGCGACACCCCTTGGAAATTAAAGTCTTTGCTTCAAATTATGAACCACTGGGATTCTGGGAAAAAATAAATGTATTCATTAGGGTGATGAAAGTGGTTAATTCCCACTTTCTAGGAGGTCAGAGCTTTCCCCCCAGATGTAAACCTCAGCCCCAGGCAGACAACCGGCTGTGGGAGAGCAGGAGTGCGGCGCTGTGCTGGGCCCAGGCCGCTGCGGCGCCCCCGAAAACTGGGCTGGGTGCCCGAGCACTCACCCGCCCTTCTCATCCCAGGCCCAAATCCATGGCTGTCCGGGAGTCACCCTCCTACATCCAAGAATTTATACAACTGGGAACAAGGGGTGTTGCGCTTTCATAGAGTCACGGAACGGTTTGGATGGGAAGGGACCTTAAAGCCCCCCCAGCCCCACCCCTTGCCCTGGGCAGGGACACCTTCCATAGCCCAGGTTGCTCCCAGCCTCATCCAGCCTGGCCTTGGACACTCCCAGGGATGGGGCATCTACAGCTTCTCTGGGAACCTGTCCCAGAGCTCCCACCCTCTGTGGGAAGAATTCCTTCCTGATACCTAATTTGTTTCTCCTGGACTGTACGAGCTTTCAGATTGGCAGAAATAGGTGCCAACCTGCACGCCAGGTCTTGCTGGCGTCACCACGCCAGCTCTCGCCGATGCAAATGCCCCCCCCTTAGCTGTCCTTGCTGCTGCGTGTCCACGTGCTGCATGGAAATGCTTTAAAACAGTGACTGTGCCTTTGGTTTTTCCTGTGCCAGAGCGCTCACTTTAACGGAAAAATCCCCCAGCAGCAATGCAGACTCCACCAACCCCAGCCGGGAGGTGACCTTGGGTTGTTGGGGTTAGCAGCCTGCTACCTGTTACACCTGAATTTTACACTCAACCCGCCTAATAATTACTGCTTGGCAGGGGCAGCCCTCGCACAGGCCTGTCGTGGGGTTTAAATGTTCAGCCCAGGCGAAACGTCCCCCTGCTCAGGGGGAGGCAGCATGTCCGAAACGAGCGGCTGTCAAATCCCTCCTTGCAAGAGATGGAGGAATGCAGTCGGTGCCCTCTCGTGGAAAATGAGTCTAAAAACCAAAACGCTTAAAAACCAAGCTGGGGAACTGTCCTCGAGGGATTCACCGGGGCTTTCCCGGTTGGTAACACCATCCAAGTGCAACTGCCCCGCTGGCATCACGGCAGCGTGGCCACCCAGTGTGGATGAGCGACGGCTCAGTGTCTGGTGATACAGAGGAAGTTCGCACCCGGGCAGTTCCTGTGGCTTTAATTATTTAATTCAGTTATTAGCCACCGCAGCACAAGGCGCGTAACGAAACCTTTCGCTCCCCTTCTGCAAAAAAGCGAGCAGGCAGCAGGATGCGTTTCGGCGGGGGGCGAGTCTGGTAGGAGCCTGTAGTCCCTTTGCAGACGGTGGCAAGGAGAGGAAGCGCACCCAGGGGGCATCTCAGCTCCTGGCATGAATCACCCTCTCAGATCGCTTGCCTATTTCCACTGCCTTCCCAAATTGGATACCTTAATTAGGCACCTGAAGTCAGTGGGGATTAATTTGGGCCCAAGTATGAGGTGATGGAGGACACTGACCTCAGGAAGCCCAGGGATGGGGATGGCGAGGCGAGTGTGTCCCGCTGATAATGTCTCCGAGAAGGTGGATGAAACGCCCTGTCACAGTTTTGCTCTCCGCAAAACAGCCATCGAGGCTTCTCACTTCGGAATATTAACGAGGTACTTCAGAGGTCCTTCAGTAGGTCAGTGCCATCGTGTGGTAAGGGACTGGCGTCTGTCCTTTGCAGGTAAAAGTACTGAGCGTTTTGGTTAGCTTACAGGAAACACAAGGTCTGATTTCTGTGGGTGATCAGGGGGCGCCAAGGTTTCAGTCCAAGGGGCTGCTCGTGAAGGGAGGTGGTTCGGAAGGATGTTCCTTAGAGGAGCCGGGGAGCTCCACGCACGCTTTCTCGCAGCTTAAGAACAAACGGGATGCTCCGGTTCCCTTCACGTTTCCCTTCTTCCCGCGTAGTTGGAGGGGATGAAGTGTCATCTGCTGGGAAAGGGACAGGATAAACGAGTTCTAGGTAATGCCCGCGTACTTCTTGATGTTTGGAAAGGGGTGGGTTCCTCGGCAACAGCGGCTGCTGGCAACAGGGGTTTCCCCCAAATTATTTAAAAATTCACGTATTTGACCAAGTTATGTTTGGAGCCTGAAGCGGGCGATGTGAGGAAACACCAAGGCTCCCAGGGAACCAAAACCCAAAGATTCCTGCAAGCGCGCTCGCCCCCCTCGTGACCTCAGTTGTTTGCCTGTTTCTGCGGTGCTTTGGTAAACATTTAGATTTGTTTTCTTCTCTTTATTTTTTCCTTCTCAACGGAAAGGAGGAACTTCCTCAGTTGTATCCTTTTTGTGAACCTTCCATCCCTGGCATGCGGCAACCTTCCGGAAGACTGGCTGAAACGCGTTCGCGTCTGCGCGACGCGGGTTTTGTGTTACAGAGCTTTCCGCCATCGGCACCATCCCTGGGGAGCAAAACGGGTAGAACGTTTCCTCCACAGGAAGGTGTTTTGGGCAGCATTAGCTGGGGTTTTAGCTGAGATTTTGCCCTGATGAGCTCCCACTCGCGCAGAAATGCCTTTAACCCACCCTGTAATCCAGACAGAGGGCTGGCACCCACCTTTTGTGATCACCTAACTCTCATTTCCATAGGAAGCGAGGCTGAAAATTGGATCTGTGGACTGATGGACCCAAACCCCATGCACCACACCCCACAGGCAGCTGACGTGAGGTAGTAAAAGCAGCTTTGGGGAGTACTTCCTCTTCTCTCATGTTAATTCACCCTGCCTTCGCTCCCGCCGAGATCTAAGTAACCTCCTAAGAAGAGACACCCTTGGCTTCAGAGATTTCCATGCTTAGAACCCATCCAGTAATTCTTTGCCCCACCTTCCTTCAACTGGAAAAACACAAAAACCTGGTTCTGTTGAATCAAACGAGCTGCTGTGGGAACTGGAATACGTCCGCCGCCCGTGGGTGGGTGCTCCGTGCAGAAACTTGGACGGGCAGTTCCTGCAGGAGGTGCCTGCACTGAAATGCCTGCTTGGAGATATTCGGAGGACTGGAGAAGGGCTGGGTGAGAGAGGGGAGGATAAGGCGTATTTTGAGGACAGAAGGATGTGGAAAGGATGAAATCTGCACTGATAACTTCCTTCTGTAAGTGACATTGTATTATTTAAGGCTAAGAAAGGCGTTTGGTATCATTTGGTTATCAAAACCACACGAATCCAGACTCACATGGCTTCAGGCTGCCGTCCTGGGGGTGGCTACAGGCGAGATGAATCTGTCCTGAGCCTGCAGGTCATTTCTCCCCGTTTGTACAGCAGCATGTGCCGCGTTCCCTGTCCTTCAGGGGCGTTTTGAGGATGTGTGAAGGATCGTGGAGCTCTCAGATGCCTTGGCACTGGATTCACACAGACAGACAAATAACTACAGCTGAATATTCTCTCTGTAGGGCAGTTTTGTGAATGAAGGGAGTCTGCTTCTTCAGAATTTGCACCTCAAAGCTGAGCTCGTAGCCCTTCTCAGGCGCGTAACAAGGTGGCGTGGGCAGTAATAGGGCCTGTCTGCTGCACAGAGCCACCTATTTTCAAAAAAGGGATAGAAATTCGATGTAAGGTACAGAAATTTGATGTACTGGGGCTGCCAACCCTCTGTCAAACTGCTGACGTCACGTGCACACCCCCCTCGTTTCCTGAGGCTAACGAATACCCTGCTACGTACCAAATACAATTTTTAAAGAAAGGAATAAAGCCAAACCTGAAGCAGCAAGTTTTTATCCCAACTCTTGGTGTTTGCAGCCTTGGGTTACCCTCTGAACCCTACCAGTAGGCCAGCCACAGTAGGCTGGCAAATTTTAAGGTTCCTGGGAAACGGGGATTTTGGGAACTGGATCCCACCTCACTGCTATGGAAAACCCTTAACGACCATTACCAGCTCTCGTCGGTTCCTTTACAGATGCTGTTTTATGTGAATGGGATTTATTACATCTTTTACTTCCTGGCAACGCTGGCAATGATTGTTTATAAAAGTAAGTTGTGCGGAGTCTGCCGCAGAAGCGGGCTGTGTGCCGACAACAGCGCCGTGGTCTGTCGGTACGCCTAGGGTCTTTTAGAATCACGGAATGATTTGGGCTGGGAGGGACACAGTCCAACCCCCCAGGGACATCTTCAACGAGATCCGGTTGCTCAGAGACCCATCCAACCTGACCTTGGGTGTTTCCAGGGATGTGGCATCTCCCACCTCTCCGAGCAACATGCTACGGTGTTCCACCTCCCATGGAGTAAAAAATTTCCTCCTCAAATCTGGTCTGAATCTCCCCTCTTTTAGCTTAAAACTATTACCCCTTGTCCTGTCCAACAGGCCCTGCTAAAGAATTTGTCCCCATCTTACAAGCACCCTTTACATACCAAAATGCTGCAGTTTTCCTGATTTATTTCCCCTGTGTTACTCTACAGGTCAAGTTTTCAGTTATCCAGATGAGTTTTTGGCTCCTGATCTCGCCCTGCTTTTCGCTATGGCCGTTCTCGAAGCGCTCCGATTATACTTGGGTATGTCATGATACACTGTGCCTTTGTGGATGTAATCTTTGATCATTCTGAAACTGAGTGCGTGTCAAAACCTGACGGTGTAGCAGGTATTTGAGGACTTGTTCACTTAGGCCATTGAACTTTATCTGCCCGAGCAATAGATTTGGCCGGAGGGTCTGACAGAATCTGCTCTCATGAAATACAGTCTATGCTGCCACTAAAACCCAGTGGCTGGGCTGTCAGAAGGCAGTATACTGGGGCAGCTGGAATGCTGTTTCCGAGTGAGCGTGACTTGTGAGGATGAACACGATGATGCATGGAGATTTCCATTCACTGGGGCGCATCAGCTCCTTTCAACTTCTCCAGCAACCTACACAAGTAACCAAACACCAGAGCCTGGTGGAACAGGTAATGCCAAGGACATCCCAGAGCAGCCTACGGCTGCCACCGCCACTGCACCTTTTCCTTCCACGCCTGAAGACATGCACGAGTCCCAGCATCTTCCCTTCATGAAGAACAGCGTAAGGGGCCTCCTGAGCCCTGCCCAGAGCTTGCTGAAACTTCACAAAGTCCTTTTTTTTTAAAAAAAAAAAGTTACTACTAAAATCTGTGCTTGATATTCCTACGACATTTATGCAAGGTGGGTCTCTGGTTCAGCTGACTTGGGGTGAATTTAGCTGCCTTCAAGCCTGGGGTGAGTTTAGCTGCCTTCAAGCTCCAAGCTCATGTTTGTTTGGAGCCTGGTGGACGAATAAAGAAGAGTTTTGAGTCTGATGTAGTTAAACAGCAATATCCAGCGAGGCTGGCTGGGAAATAAGATGCAGCTCCACAAGGATAGTAATTGGAAGAGATTAGCAGGGAATATGGAAGATTCTATACTGCGTAAGGTTTTAAAATCAGGATTGGGCGCTCTTAGATGTGCACCGCAGTCACCAAGTCGTCCTGCTAAGCGCGGGGCTGGGGGGGACTGTGGGAAGGTTGGATGGTTGACAGAGAAGCTGAGTCACCCAAACGGTTGCAGCTTCAGAACTGAGACTCTGTGCTAAGGAAAGGTAGGCTGAGTATCAACTCTTGGCTGCTGGTTATTCAGATTAACTCGGGTCAGCAAGAAGCGGATTGTCCGTTGGTGTTAGGGTTTGTCCTTACTGACCGAGCCTTGATTCAGGCCGGTGTTTCCGTGTACTCGGGGCTGTAAGAATTAGAGCCTTTTATTGATCAGGAATACCCTGGGCTTGTGATGTTGCCAGAAGAAATCAAAGACTCACATTAGCTTTTTGCTTCCTTCAAGGTTCAAAGGGTAACCTGACCGAAGAAGAGGCTCCGTTAGGGCTCAGTCTTGTGATGACGGTGGGAAGTGTGATGCTGTCCGTGTATTTCCTGGTGTGGCAAACCTACGTGCTGAAAGCAGACGTCATCGTCAACGCTGTTCTGCTCTTTACATACGGGCTTGAGTCAGTACTAAAGGTCACCACCATCGCTGCCTTTATCAGCTGAACCCCAGCAGCTTTCAGTGCTTTTGCAGTGTGTTTCTTCTACGAAAGAGTGGGTTTATACTTCAAACATTTAATTCTTTTGCATATAAAAATCCTGCAAAGCTTTCCTCCGTTTAAAGCACAGATTTCTGAGGGGCAGAGGGCTCCCTGAACAGCAGGTAAAATACCCTGCTGAGCACTACCTCACCACTGAGCTGATTTATGGGCAAAGGCAAGAGATGATTCAGCAGAATCACTTCATGCTCTGGGATTCATCAGGGATCAACACTAACTATTCATTCCCGACACACAGCCGCAGCCAGCGCATCATCTAGCCTCAAGCTGCGGAGGCGACGTGAGTTTTTCACGGCGTAGCAGCCACGTACAACCGGCGTGACACAGAAGCAAATCAGGCCAATACAGCACGGACTCATTTCTGCCTCGCCACGCGCACGCCTGTGTCTGAGGGCATGGTTTCTCTCCTGCTCTCATTTGTGCTTTCAGCCCCCAGTGGTAATTTCCCGGATTTTACTAGGGCAGTACCTGATTCATCCCACTGGGAGGGAGTTGAACTGAGTTTTACGCAGACCCAGAGAGCCGAGCTACAGGGTTTGGGCAGCCGGTTCTTACCGACGCAGAGGCCAAAGGCGGTAGCGGGAGGGTATGTCTGTTGAAACAGGATGGCCTTAAGGTGAGCAGGAACACTCACCGTTCTGTCCAGTTTTAAAAGCCCAACAGAAATTTGTCAGGTGTATTTCTATTCGGTGTTAAATGTGTTTATTTCCATGATTCTGTAAGAATTCTTACATTCCAATTTTGTCTTTTAAACGAAGAACTGTGCAATTTCAGATTTTGATACTGTTATCAAAAATACATGTGTATTAATGTCAAGCTTGGGTTGTTTGTGGGGGTTTGTACAAGCAGTTTTTGTAGTCAGAATGTCCCATTTTTGTATTTATTTTTCAAATAAATAATGAGCTCTAAGAAGCGTTTGAAATGCAGAGCATCTTATTCAGATCCTAGGCTAGAGCTAAGCTACACAAAGGAAGACTTGGGCAGGACGGGATGCGTGCAAACTTCCGCTGCTCTGGTGCTGCTCTGCGCGGATTTGCACGAGCCAGGGGCTGGAAATACAGCGGGGCAGCCCTGGATCGCCTCGGCCACGCTGCTGTTCTCTTGCCAGCAGGGGTAGAGGGGGAGAAAAAAGACAGAGAAGTGCCTGTAAGGGCCCGGTTTCATCCCTGGGTGAGACCCAGGGGAGCCCCTTCCAAGTTTGGGTAACCCCAGCTCCCACGTTCCACCGCCCAGCCGGCAAAATCCAAACATTGGCACAAATCCCCTCGGGCCGGATCCTGTTACGTCGGTGGCACAACCAACCCTTTGTTGATCAGAAGACAACGTGAAAGCAGCAGGACTGAGCGCTAAGGGAACCGAATAACCAAATATTTTTGTGCTTAATCTGCACAAATCAAACACCCACCTGTTTGTCCTCCCAGATGCGCTTGGCGTGATGGAATGTGCTCATCACATACCGGTCAGGAGGAGCGACAAACATGCCGAGAGGTGCAGCAATGACGACGGCAAAGCGAGCAAAGCCCCGTTCCGTGTGTGTACAAATAGAAGCACAAGTTTTTCCTGGCAGTCACACCTGCTCCGGCAGCAGAACGTCTGACGGGTTTTAAAGGAAATGCTGCAAAGCGGAACCTTCTTTTTACCTGGATGTAGGTCGTTGTGGCAGACGGGGTCACGCACGTTCGCTTCAAGCTGCAGCCTCTGCGCTTCACCTTCCTCCCATCTCGTGGTGCTCACTACAAACAAAATAAATACAAAATATTAGCACAGCTGGAGGTGGCAGAGACCCAGGGAGTTGATTCGGGAGACATCGGGAAAGCTGGCGGAAGGTGTTCCCACGCCGAGGTGTTTGACCCCACCGCAGATCACCGTCTCCACAGCTACCACCCTACGGCCGTTTGTGATCTGGAAAACTGGATCCCTGGCCTGATCCCTGCGGAAAACAGACCTCAAAAAATGGTTCTTCTGAGGAAGGTGTGAAGTAGGTGATGGCTGCCAGGTTCCTGCCTGTTCCCACGGCACCGTCATGCTTGGGACAGTCTGCTGGGCCACACAGCGTAAAGCAGCCGCTTGCTCAAGCTTTATAAAACTGTGTGGGGTTTATATATATATATTTT